GTTCTGAGCTTGTTATGAAACACAGGCAGTGGTGTATTTTTGTACAATGCACACAGCGGTGGAAGCATTTGAAATGCATTTCCTACCAGAAACAGAAGGCTTGCAAAAGCACACTTTGACCCGCGAAACTGCATTTAAACGATTATACTAAAACCAGTCAAATGTACAAAATAAAACAGCTAAAACTCTCCCTAATTCTTATGCTAAACAGGATCTGAGCGCAAAAATTTAGCATTTACGTAACACATTAACTCAAAGCATGCAACAATAATTAATTCTTCCTGCCACGCCGCTCTGCTTTCACTCTCCATCTGTTACTCTGTTCAACAAAGTCTGATCCATTTACTGTCTGTGGAGCCTCTCTGATATCTGCAGGCTGATTCAAGGCTTTTAGAGATACTTAACCACTGGCACAAAGCAGCAAAGTGGGTTTTGTGCAGGTGCAGGAGGTTTAACACCCTATAGGGTAACACAACATGCTTTAGGGCCTGGTGGAGTTATTTGAAGCCACTCAGCAGGCCTTTTAAAGTCACTGCTGCTGGCAGCAGATGATGGAAATGTTAAGGAAAGAGAATGTTTTTGCATTATTGTTTACCTTTTGGGGCATTTCTTTGAAATAGTAAAGTGAGCATGAAAAAACTAACTTGGGTAATTAGAGAGGGTCTATTATGCTTCCTTGGACATCAAAGGGCTACACAAAACATGTTTATCACGTTTTATTTTGCACATCATTCTGAGAGGATGAGATTTTAGTCTGGTCAGTTATGTCTTTCAGAATGAGCTGTTTTAGGGACTTCTGTCACTTTAAATCCAAATGAGCTAATGGTGGCCACGCCCCCAACTCAACGTTTACGTAAAACTGGCTGCAAACAGATGTGCAATTATACAACCATACATCTCTGAAAAGCAGAAGTGGAGCCTCCTGCACAACCAACAATAATGCAAAAAGTGGTTTCTGAACAGTAAGCCAACAAAACACTTGTGTTTTCCAGCAGCCATTGTACAATGCATACAGCAGTAAAGCCAGCTGATCAAAGGTGCTGGATCTCATCAAGGGTTGGTAGGTAACAGTGCCATGTTCATCGAATGTGACTTAATAATTGGAAGGATTTTGAAATGGCTCGTTTTCCGGACGCCAAAAAAATATTAACTTATAGCCAAAAACAAGCTGGGTGGCGTTTTTTTGAGTGCTTGAGCTGCTTTTTGACCCAAATTGATGGTTAAAACCCTGTAAAATGTGAATTTGGAATAAAATATCCACTTTAGCAGACAGTAATGATGTTCAGATTTGAAGCTGGGTGTGTTTAATCGTTTTCAAAACCTTCTGCTGCTAATCTGCTGCTTTCACATCAGTATCAGACAATAATAAGCGAGCCGGTATAAATTTTTGATGAGAGGAAATCCAACACCGCAGCTGGGTGTAAGCAACAGCTGTGGTAAAGCAGGACTATAGAGTCATATTTTCCTCATCTGCTGCTGTTCTCAGGAAAAGATGTGATTTTGTTCTTTCACTAGGATTTCTCGACTTGTGCCTCTGGTGACACAGAAATGGTTTTCATATGATCGTCTTGTGACTTCTAAATACAGATGCGAGCTCTTGGATGGACTACTTTCTGAAATGAAAGGGAGAGAGGCACATTACTGATGAGTTTTTTTATGGAACCAGTAAGCAATGGGATTTTCCTCCCATACTCGGCCGTTTTTCATGCCATCGACGCTTTCAGCCGCAGGTGGATATAAAGTTCACACACTGCTGATAAAATGAGATCAAGAAGAATCATTTTGGAAGTTTTTCACATTTTACCTGCAGTGTGCAAAGCCTGAAACTAACTTTGAGTGTTGCAGCTGTTAACCAAAGTACTGTAAATAAAATGGATGGATGGATGGATGGATGGATGGATGGATGGATGGATGGATGGATGGATGGATGGATGGATGGATGGATGGATGGATGGATGGATGGATGGATGGATGGATGGATGATGATGTTGATTGATTGGTTGATTGATTGATGGGTGGATGGATTGATTGATTGATTGATTGATTGATTGATTGATTGATTGATTGATTGATTGATTGATTGATATTCCCATGGTTTTTTGCTCCCGGTGGTAATAAAACATGTTATTTTCCACCAGTCAAACCTTTTCTCTGCTCTTTCGCTTCATTCTGTCCCGTTTGGATCTGAGCATCGCAGCTCTTTGGATCCTCTGCACTGTAAACATGTAGAGACAGACGCAGCTGTAACCCAGAGGCAGGACACAAATCCTCTGTAAAACGACTTATTGGACCTGGTTACCCTCAGCCTTCACCTATTGATTAGCTGGCTGCTTCGATCATCCCTGCGGCTCCCAGATCCGATCTGTGTTCACTGGAGGCTCAGAGATACGATGTCTCTGCAAGCTCACATTATCTGCTTATTATCCAAACCACCCAGAACGCATCAGCACTCCTATCACAGGCGCAACTTACACATAATCACAATTTTATTGGCATAAAATCCAACCTGTGATTGGATTGGACCAATCACAGGTTGTGTCTTTAGAAACTTACTGATGGCTCCAAAGTTGGTGCTTTTCTCTACAAGCTGCTCTTCCATTTCACCAAAGCATCAATTATGTTGGATATTTATGTACGTATTAATATGCCAGTATTTCTAGTTTGACTATGTGAAAATATCCTCTACAGATTCAAATTCGAGATGCATCAATTTGATTTTAATATTTGTATCGGCCCCGATGTTAGAGTTAAATGTAGTTGTGAGGGTTTTCACATTATATACAAAAACAATGACAATTACAGCAAGAAAGAAGAAACAGGAAATGCTGTCATCAACAAGGTGTTCAGCAAAACAAATTTATAAGGTAAGACAAATACCTCAGTCCAGATATAAAAAATTCTAGATCAATTTGTGACAATTCTCCTGATCCACAAGGGCAGATCTATTCACTCTAATTCTATGTTTTGTGCTCTGATCAACGTCACTATTTATCATTTATTTCACATTATATTTAGAATTTCCTAATTGCACTTTCTGAACCATTTGAAAGAAAGTTTGTTGCAGTTTATTTTTACATATTTTTTGTCAGTTTTAGTTCATTATTTGTTTCCTATCGGCTCATTGTGCTGACTGAACAAATCAACGTAGCTTCACAAGCTTGAGAAACTAATTAACTAATTCTTAAGTTTGCAGAGTTATTAAATAAATGTGTAATTCAGTACATTTGTGTCTGTGTTTAAAAAAGAAAACCTTTCAAGTCAGTTCAGTTCCGTTTTTCTGTATCGGATCGGTATCTGCCGATACTAAACCTCCAGTATCGGTATCGGAGGTAAAAGCAGATCGGTGCATCCCTACTCAGAATGATTTGTTTAAATCAGAAAACAGCAGAATGAATAAGACATGAATGTTTCTCATGTGTTCTTTAGTTAATATAAAAGAGGCGACTGTAAATTGTCGTCCTGCTGAACATCTGAATCTGTTTCTGTTAGCAAGTCTCTCAGCAGAAGGAACATGATGTGCATGAAGGCAGAGTGTGTTCACATTTGGCCCACATATTGACGATGGGAGAGACTTCCCCACAGCAGACACTCCTCCTGCACCGGTCTGCTGCAGCCAGGCTGCTGCAGCCGGTCTGCAGCCATGCAACACCCGGGACTCCTGCCTGCTGCAGCATCATGTATGTATGCAAAGTCAGAGCTGAACTAAAAGGTGCAATAAACACCAAACCACTTTACCCCGCCCTGGCAGGACGTTACTGCCAGGGGGAAATGAAGTGTAAAAACACATAAGGGAGGACAGACAGAGGCATCTCAGAGCTCCTCTGAAAGCAGAAACGTTTTCCCTCAGTTCAGAGTTAATGGGAGGAGATTGCCGACAGAGGCAGAATGGGTTTATAAAGCGGGGTCAGAGGAAAATAGACACACAAATTGTCGGCCATGTTGCAAAAACACACGAGACACAAGAGGGGCGGAGCAGCGAGGATGGAGCTAATCGGTCACTTAATGCCTTTTGTAACGGATATAAATTATTTAAAATTGTCAATTATTTAAGGTGAATTTTGTAAATCATTTGTCCAAATATTGCAGATTGTTTATAGATGTTTGTCTGTTCAGATTAACAATCCTAAACTACAAACTAAATCCTTAGATTTATTTTTGATTTAACGGTACATTTAGTTTTTGATGTTTATTTCTACCTCATCTGATGCCATATAAATCTATCAATAAAGGAATCAATAATAAAGCTAATTAATCAATTAATCACATTATAAGTTAAAATGAGCTCCATAATTCTGATTATTAATCGTTTTTCATTTGTGTGGTTTATATTTTTGTTTATTGGTTTTTGTTGTTTGTTCATGTTTTGAGGGGGAGGATTTATTTTATCATTTTATTTATTTATTGGTTATTTTTATTTTAAATGTCTTTATTTTGTCATTTAATTTTTTTTAATATTCTAACTGTTATTATTTATTTATATTCAAAATATTTTTCTGGTTCCAGTGCTAAATGCTCTTTATAACATTAAAGTTTATTTTTTTAAACTTTTAAAGTTTATTGAACTTCATGATCCATTTGATTTTTTTGTGTTTGTTTTATTTTGAATATTGAAAATATCTTCCAGTTCAAGTGATTTGCGTTCTTTACCAAATGAAAGTTTGTTCAATTGTCATTAAATTTCTTGAAAATGGCCTCAAAACAACAACATTGTCGTTTATCGCGATAACTTCTGGAACAATTTATCGCTCAGGATAAAATCATGACAAGCCGAGTTCTCGACTCAAACACCGAAAAGAGAAGAATCCAAAGTTTTGACCATCTGACATGCATCTCACTGCATGGACACAAAGTCTGCCACAGAAAACAAACATGCATCAAACCGCAGGCCGATTCCCACAGAGATTACACGCTGCGATTCAAATGCAACATGTTGTTGATTCTGCCTCCTTTGCAGCCTTTTGCCTTCAGGTAGATTAAAAGTTTCCTCTGTGTATTTTCAGGAGCTGAGGGACCAGAGCCATGGCAACAACAGATCTGCATCTCCAGATCCCCATCCAGTTTGGCACAAAGGTCACTCATGGTTATGTATTTCATGGCAGTTAGGAAGTGAGTCCAGTCCGCAGCTGAGGAGGGAAAATGTTCCTGTTATGGAGTGGCTGCTGCGCCCAAATCAATCAGTCAGGGAGACGAACTGATGACAGGTGAAGCTTTACGGCTTCAGTCCAAACCATTCCAGAGGTTCAACATCAGCCCAGTTTGCCTAAACTAAACTGGGCTTGTTTTCGTCTTCATATCTAAATGTTGTTTATCGTTACTTAGGGCAGTGGTTCCCAAAGTGTGGGGCGCGGCCCCTATTGGGGGCGCAGTGCCATTGCAGGGGGGGACGCAGGAAACGGTTTGGATGAATAAAACCAAACAGCTACACAAAAGTGTTTCACTGTAAAGATGGTTTGCAGTTTGTTTTGTTGCAACCTGAAATGTGACATAAACCTCAGTGGAGTTGGAAAACAAAATATGTGTAAAGATTTATGTGTGGTTGAACGAGGTGTGGATTTTTTTTTCATTTTTTGGGGGGGATTTTATTGTAATGCGTAGGGGGCCCAGAAAATCTTTGGGAACCACTGACTTAGGCCTCGGCGATATGGTATATATTTTTCAAAACAGATGCAATTTTAATTGATTCCCACTTTCTTTCTCAAAAATGAGTTTTTCTGTCAGTCATTCCCTCTTTGAGTTGTAAGACGGGGTATTAGCGCCAGGCTGCAACAACTTTTGTGACATATTAGCAGAATAAAGAAACAATTTTACCAGAAGAAAGTTGATTCAGCTTTTACTATTCAGATATTGATTGGTTGAATAATAAAAATAATCAATAGATCAGCCGTGCAATGTACTGATGTTAAGAGGCCTGAGCTTTGATGTTAGACGTTCTCTAAGTTGTAGATGCATCCTTTGCTGCAAATGATCAAGTGTTCAATAAAGACATTTTATGTTATGTTTTAGGCAAAAACTAAATATTGAAGGAATTGAATTGTTTGCTTATAACCATATTTTAATATATTTCTTATATGCCTGCAGAATCTGCCATTTTTTCCGATTAATGGATTCATTGTCTGAATAATCAATTACAAAAAAAAAAAAATAGTTCAGAAGGCTGACATTTTTCCATCAAAAATGAGAAACACTGTTAATATATCTGTCTGAGCATAAAGGGTTTACAGAAAGCATCAGCTTCATCTTTTGAAGTGAAGAAGAAGGGAAAAAAAGATGTGGATGCCTGTCCAGTGGCCCAAAAAGTGGTACATGCGCTATATGTGAAGCATGGGGGCGCTACGCTGGAGGGGGCGCCAGAATATGACGGGAAGAATATTCCTAAAAGCTCGTGGAGGCTGTTTATGTTTTCATTTGAATTGTGTTGTCAGATGACAAAGAGCTAAAGATGGGAAAAGGAAGAGGGAGTAAAGTGATGAGAAATCTCTTCAAAGTGGTTTTGTGAATCTATCAGAGAAGGCTTGTGCATATTCAGGTTAGCGTAAGCTTCTAGGGTTGAAAATAGAGACTATAACAGAGTGGGAGGGTTTGATCTGTGTCGGAGGTGAGTTGACAGTGAAAGTCTTGGCGGAAACTGTGTGTGCGTCTTTTGTCTCTCACCTTTGAGCAGGGGCAGCGGGGTGAGCTCCACCTGGGAGCTCTGGTAGCGGAACTGGGACGAGCTGTGGGACCTCCTCTGCCGCGCTCTGCGCATCGACCTGCGCGGAAAGCCGTCCACCTTCTCCGCGGACGGCACCGAGAAGCTGGTGGTTGGCGAGGAGGGGCTGGACGGGGGCAGCTTGGTGGTCTCCATGACGGCTGCAGATGTGGAGCGCGTAACGGAGGATGGATGGGTGGGTGGGTGGGTGGGTGGATGGATGGAGTGGGTGGCTTTGTGAATCACAGATGGATAATCAGTTGATTAGGATGTAAATGCGCAGGGGAGGGGGGGAATATCTCTGGAGGTCCGGTCCTGGTTTGCGCCTCTAGGAGAGCCGGACTGATGGCCGCATCGCCTGAATCTCCTGGTTTGTTTTACGCACAGATAGAAATGGGCTGGCGGCTCCTTCCCAGTGATGCTCAGACACACACCTCTGCTGCTGTACTGGCGTCACACAGGCTCCAGCCTCGGTCATCGGCCTAAACGTGGATGTTCATTCAGGATAATAACAGCCTGGTGAGGAAAACCCGCAGAGCGCCTCCTGGTTATCCCAGAGAGATTAAAACAAAAACACAGATTCCCGATCAGTTTGTGGTTTATCCTCCTTATTAATCGGATCCGGTCCTGGCGGTGGATGATGATATCATGAAATCATCAGTCTGGGCCCACCTCGGCTGCCGCATCACTCTCGTCCTTCTCTCTGGTTTTATCGCATCCTCTCCTGGTTCCCTCAGCCGCTCCTCTGATCAACACATTCAGATATTTCTATTGGACTCCCTGCGGCTCGGTGATTGTTCTCCACCTGCTCCTCCTCCCGCCGCCGTCCTCCAGCAGATATCAGGGCGGAGAAACAAACGGAGCCGACATGTGCAGGTCCTCCGCCGCCGAGTCGAGCCGCGCCGCGCCGCGCCGCGCTCCCACCTCCGAGGAGCAGGAAGCAGACAAAGGGGAGAGACGGAGCCGCTCCGGAGGCCCGGAGGGGAAACTCTGGGCCTGCGTTACACAACCGGAGGAAACACACACGACTGTCCGACTGATCCGCTGAGCTGCCGTCCTTCTTCTCGGTTCCCGTTATCCGGTTATTACAGCGCCAGATTTGCGTCAAAGCGCACGGGACCACCGGAAATGACACAGACTGCCTTTTCAAATTAAATCGCAGCAAATTGACCAACATTCGTCTCTCACTTTTCTTTATAATTAACGAAACTTCTCTTTATTAAAACGGAGTGTTAGACCCTCATTTTGATAATAAAGTTTCAGTGTCACAAACATAAAGTCGGTGTATTACAAGAACATACAATTACCTCTTTATTCTGGTGATTTTATAGCTTTAGTCTCATAATACTGTGACTTTATTTTTATTAAATAAAATTTAAAAATCTCATTATGGCCCTGATACTCCATCGTTTAATTTCAGCTTCATTAACGTCATATTGGGACTTTATTCTTGGAATTTTTAGAATAATGTTTTGAGTTTTTTCAGTGTGGATCAATTTTTTTTTTTGTCATATTATTTTGACTTAATCATCATGTTAGTTTTTCTTTATTCTCAGGATTTGTTTTTCTCAGAAATTCTTCTAATTCCACAGAAAAAATATATATATTTTTTTAGTAATTGATTCAGTTCACATTGATTCATTTCTGTTGATTAAGACTGTCAGCTGACGAAAACTACAAGTTCATTTGTTTTTGTTTATTTTTAAGGAATTAGAAAACTAATTTCAGGGATTAATCCGAAATCCTGGGACGAGGTAAACTGCACTGGATTATGGATTAAGCATATAAAATAGCTGCCCGTTTATCACAAACTGTCTTTATAATTGTAACCAGACTGGGCAGCAGAAATCTTCCACAAAAAGGATAAGCAACTGAAAAAAAATTATTCAACTTACTTGTTGCATGTAAGCAAATTAAGTTTCAAATATATACAGTGTATTAAGTTGTCATGTTAAACATAAACAAAATAAGTTTGACAGACTTAATTTGATCTCTTGTAGCAAATTAAGTAATGTTTCTTATAAAGTTGGATCATCATTCTCTTTGTTCAGCTTTCAAGTGTAGAGTAAAGTTGAGTGGAAGGAAGAAGTGTGGTTTGTAAAGATGCACATGCAGCTAGGATAAGTCTTCAGAGGATTGAGACGCAGACTCAGCTTAAATTCACAAAACATTTCACTTGTTCAGCAGGTCTGGATACATTTTGCTTTTAATTGACATGAAATCACGTTTTCTTTCATTTTACAGGCAGATAGCGATATCCTGTTTATAAAATTGACTTGCAGAATTTCACAAAGTGGTTTAACTGCGCGTGCTTTTATTTTGACGGCGCCAACCGGATGCACGCTCGGCCCACTCCGAGCGCCTTGACTGCTGAAAGGTGGTGCAAGACGGGAGAGAAAGGCTCCTCACTGCAGATGACGCTACGGCATTGATTTATTTATTTATATGGTTTATTTATTTTAGCTGTGCGGCGGTGGGACGATTTATTCATTTCATCCGGATCATTTTTTGCGCCTTTCTGCAAATATTCTACGCAGAAAATCTGCAACATTGGTGCGATTTGGTTGTAAAATATCTCCTTCTGACCTCCAGCAGCGCTTTGACGTCCATCGGTGTATCTGTCTGACTCCCTCCTCCTCCTCCTCCTCCTCCTCCTCCTCCTCCTCCTCCTCCTCCTCCTCCTCCTCCTCCTCCTATTCCTCCTCCTCCTCCTCCTCCTCCTCCTCCTCCTCCTCCTCCTCCTCCTCCTCCTCCTCTCCTCCTCCTCCTCCTCTCTCCTCCTCCTCCTCCTCCTCCTCCTCCTCCTCCTCCTCCTCCTCCTCCTCCTCCAGGAAAGGTTGTAAGTTGAGGATCAAGCTTCCTCCTATTGTTCCTCCCAATCAGACCATCCAGGCTCAGGTTCCCACAATCCCCTCATCTTCCAGGTTCTGATGTTTTATTTCCTATCTAAACGAAACAAACTGACTTCAGATTGTTTGCTGCAGCGCAAAAGGAGAAATATTCAAACTGATTCAACATGGTCATGTTTTTATTTTTATCCTGATGATAAACGCACAATGGCCAAATGTATCGCGGTTGTTTCAGTTTTATTGATAAACTTCACTCAAACACCAATATGTTGGTATAATTTCACTACAGCTGATTAAATGCTTACACTGTAAAAATCTGTCACGTTACTTCAACTTTCTTGAAAAAAAAAAAGCTTTCTTAGAGTCAAAAGTTGGGTTAAAAATCATTATTTTTTTCAGCTGTAAAGTTTTTACTGTTCAAATCTCTGTGTGGTTTGATGGATAAAAATTTGATTATTGGTTCAGACGTAATCATTTACAAAGTCGTGTAAACCTTTCATTTTTTTGGACATAGATTTATTATTCAAGCTGTTTTTTTACAGCAAACTACACAGACGAGGTCAGACATTATGCTGGCGTTTAATGTCTGTGGAAAATTCACATAAAATTTGCTTTGTTAATGTTTTTATACAGCTTATCCAAAATTTTCTACCTCAAATCCATCTGCAATGCTGTTGACTGTTAGTCTGAGGTGATCTCTTTTTAAAGTTATATTTCTGTGATATTTTAACTGATTTAAAAAGAAGATTGGATCTTTTCAAAGATTCAAAGACTCAGTCAATATTCATTTTTATTAACTTGTGTCAGGTCTTGACCTTGTCCTGTTTTTTCTTTCCTTTGTTCTTCAATCCGTCTTATTTAAACGCTTCTTCTCTGACCAACTGAATGAAGACGTTTGGACATTTCCAGTATTATTTTTAAAGCTATTTTCGGGTAAAATGGAATCATCTACAGTTCAGATTTGCAGTTTTGTTCTACGAAAGTCAACATTTAACTAATAAAGAGAAAAATCACTTCAGGAGAGAAACATGCATGAATTTGATTTAATTTAATGTTTTAATCACGGAGTTAAATAGAAGTAGATAAAGATGTGTGCATTAGAGAAAAAGCTTTTATTTTACATATTTTTATACAAGATACACTACCACAGCATAAATACATCTGATAAATACACGCACTCTTAAAAACGCACTAAATTGTTAATATAAACCCATATATTTCCTCTCAATCTACAGTATATATCCATAAACTCTATATTTCATATGTAGTTACAGATTTAATCAACATGAATCATTAGAGAAATCTAAATTGTCACTTAAATAAAAGCACTAGCCTTTTGAAATTCAGTGAAAAACAAAGTAAATGCAGCATTTTCATCCAAAGCACGATAATTGTTCAATAATTAAATGGTCCATAAAAACCTCTCATTCATGCAAACTAAACTCATTCAGCATCTTTGGCAAGTTCTGGTTGATGAGACAATCCTTAAAATAAAATTAATGACATATAAATCAAAGCATCCAACATGGCTGCTTTATTTGGAGTGTGAATGTTTTCCTCTCCAATCCTCAGAAGATCTTCTAACATTAAATCCATAATCTGTTTAACTTGAGTTGATGCAAAAAAAATGCATGAAATGTGTAAAAATGTGATTTTCTTTAGAGATGTTTCTCCTTCATGGGCTTTTTTTGAGCTAAACTGAACAATCTGTATCTCTTCTTTTATTTCCTCATGTTGAAATCCCTTCAGATTTTTGTTTCATTATTTTCCACAAGGCAAATTTGTTTTTATGTGTAATAATGGATGAACTTTCTGAAGACTTTTTAATTCGTTTCCAATGTAAAAATAGATCAGAACTGTGATCATTTTTGCTGTTGGAAGGGAGCTGATACTAAGATCATTAATTTGAAAAAATGGAGAAATTTATTTAGTTTTTAAATGACCTGAAACTACTAAACTTTTGAATATTTAAGAGGAAAGAAAAAACTTTCTGTTTTAAAAGAAAAGATAGTTGAATTGCTAAAACAGGCATTTATGAGGTTAAAAACCTTAATATTATCTGATAAATGTTGATTTCCATAATTATCTTAAAAAGGTCACTTTGTGTCGTTGGCCCACAGGTGGCGCAGTTTACTCTGTTTTCTACTTTCGCTGATGTTCTAAAGTTACTATTATTTTTGCCTCCTCAGAAAAATCTCGTGATAACATCCACTTTTTGTGGCCAAAACGGCCATTCAAAGAGTTAAACATTCAGAAAATAATAAATATTTGTTATGTACGCTGGCGACTGGGCGTTACTCTCATATTTATGCAAAATTTGGAAAAATAGTTGATGCAAAATGTGTTTTATGACCTGAGACAAAACAACCCGGTGGGATCACTGAGTGTTCGGTGGTGCATGTCAGCTCAAGGCGGCGGGCGCCTGGCGTGTCGGCTGCTGCAGCGACTCATGAGTCATAGGAAGGTTTCTTCACCGTCACGTTGACATCTGGTACCTGCTTCAGCACAGACAAGACGACTGAAACCACATTAGTTCAGATCGCACTGCTTTGTCCTAAAGCAGAGATAAAACACTCTGTAGTGTTTGAGGAACTGGATTTTGCAGTGCAGAAATAAAAAGCAGCAGACAGGAAAGACAAATCCCTCAGCGTCTTTAGATGCAAAAATAAGTTTACAAAATGTGCAGCCACAGCTGTCTGGTTCAGTTTGGGAGCTTCTGATGCAAATATCTACAAATTGCATTTCCACGAACCTGCAGGGAAGCGCAGCCGCTGCACGTCGGCTCGGACTCTAACGGTCACAGACCCAACTGTTTCTGTATAAATTAAGAAACAGCTGACGACCAGGACCGAGTTATCTGTAGTTCTTAGAAACAGAGTGACTCAGTTCAGTTGATGTTGCAAAGTTTGAGACTCAAAAAAGAGAGTTAATTTTAATGTATTTCGAATGTTGTATAAAACAGACTGATGAAAATCTGCAGAATGTGCCGACTTTCTTATCTGATTAATCAATTAATTATCAGAATAAGCGACAGATTAATCGATTGCTAGGAGTGAAAAATAAGATCGAAAAAGGCACCAAGCACATCTGGTGTTTGGCATGTTTTTTCTTCCCTAGATTTTGGCAAACGAGTAATAAAACTCTTTGTTTTGATTTTACTATGTGCAAAACTTTCTCAGAAACCATACTGCGTTTATAGATTCCTTCCGATAAGTTTTGAAATCTCTTAAATGGATCCTGATGAGTCGTTTGTCTTGCTTTCTGGAGGTCTCTGTGGTGTCGACCAAAGGAGAACTCTCTGTTCAAACGGAGGGCAAAGTAAGAAGAATTGGGCTCAAAACAGAACAGGAACAAAATCAGGCAAAGGCCTGACAGGAGCTGATGAATACATCGCCCTTCTTTTGTTAAGTTGATTTATTCTTTGAAAGCTGCAGCTTTACTTATTTATTACCAGCTCACATTTTCATATACAGATGTATTAGCAGCCTTGGAAAACGTGTAAAATATTTAAACTAACTTGGTCTTTTATGAGATCATTAATACCAGTTCAATACCAGGAAAGAGCTTTTTCTGCTTTATCCAGTGGCGGTTCTCACATAAATTGGGCCCTGGGCAACCCGTTCCCTCTGCAGCCCCCCAAGAAGGACTTTAGCAAACTTTATTCCTATTTACATTTGTGATGGTAGAGCAGAAAAGTGTTTGTTCAGGCATTACTGTAACTGAAAATCTAAGTGGAAAATTATACTGCTGAAATAAAAATGATTTTTATTTTAAGGTTTACTATTAATGACATCCCTGGTAAAAATGACTAGAAAATGATCTTATTGTTGGGATTATATGACGACTCTATGCTATAAATACCTGATAGGATTTGATGCTAAACAACTTTAAGACACAATTCTTGCTGAATCTTAACTTGTAGGTTAATTTTATCTTATTTAAAGTTAACTGAGATGTTTGCACTAGAAAGTGGGCCCAAAAATACTTTGCGTGATTTTGTGTTTTTGTAGTGCGAGACGTTGGTTGTGTCTTACAGTTGGACTTCTCTCAATGTAATAAAAATAAGCAGCTGTTCTGTGATGCTACTGGTTGCCGAAGCCACTCAGGATCCACTCGTTGACCTCCAGCAGCTCAGAGAGAGACGTGTCCTTAGAGGCGGCTGGTGCTGGTGCATGAAAGGTGGTCTGACAGTGAATCAGAGGGCTGGGCACTGTGAGCAGGGACAGCAGGGACTCAGGAGCCGGAGAAACCTGTTGATCGTAACCTTCAATGGAGGCCGGAGGAGCAGCAGGAGGAGAGGTCACCAAGGTCACATCACTGCTTCCACTGAACCTGCAGGGTGGAAACTGAGGCAGATTCCTGCTTTGGTTCGGTAAAGCTGTGTTTTGTACCGCTGAGGAGGATTGACCTGCCGGTGCAGCTGCACAGGAAGAACTGAGGGTTCTTAAAAATGAAACGTCTGTAAGGCTTGGAGATGCTGAGGCAGTTGTGTTAGCGTTGTTTGTCAGTAGCTGAGCTGCTGGGGATCGAACGAAGCTGGTAGGCGGTTCACAAAACAAGGAATGAGGAGCTGGATTTGTGGAGAAAGAAGCAGAATAGGAAGAAGTGGATGAGGACGAGGTAACGAGGAGTTTAGCCGACTGGGCTGATGCTGCTGGAGAGGAAGATGAAGACGGGAGACGAGTCTTTTCAGGGTCACTGAAGGCTTTTAAACCCCCTCTGGTGTTTAAGGAGGAAGAGTCCTGCAGAGGCCCGGAGCTGCTTTTGCTATCTGCTGGGGACGAAGCGCCGTTCGCGAGGCAGCAGTGAGATTTGTGGCGCTCCAGCGCCATCTCATAGAGGCGAAGGTCTTTCTTCAGCTTTGCAATTTCCTTCTGCAGAGCTGAATTTGATTGCTCAAGATTCTGCAGCTCCTAAAGAAACAAGAGGCAAGAAGATGAGAGATGGGGTTACTTTATGAAAGGTGCTTTCTTGAACAGGTTAGGATAGGTTTATACAAAACAAATATGTAAATTATTAATATTTTTTTTAACCAAAATTATTCTCATTTTAGATTAGATTATTTTTAGATAATGAGATTTAGTCTGCTCAGTTCTGCGTTTCATAATGTCACCTTAAATCCACATGAACTGCTGCTGGACACGACCCGCAACTCAAAATTTACACACACAAACAACCACACATCTTTGAAAAGCATTAGTAGAGCCTCCTGCACAACCAACAAAAATGCAGCAGTTGGTTTCTAAACAGTGAGTCAACATGGGGTAGGCATTTATTGTATCGTTTATTATTCATTTGTAAAATTACTTTAATAATTTTTATTTAAATAATATAATTTCCAACTGATTGTTAAAAAACTGTCCATATTGTCAGGATTGTTCTTTTGGTTTTTTTTTTTTTCATTTTCTCCAAAGTTCAATAAGAGTATCAATAACTAACAACAAATTTGAAAATATGCACAACCAACCAGAATGCAGCCAGTGGTTTCTGAGTGGAAAGTAAACACTTGTGACCCATTGTTGTTTTCTTTCTATACAATTGGTTGGTGCAACATTTCCCCCAGAAAACTTGCCAAGCCTGATGGTTGTGCACTAGCTTTATATGTTTTTGAGTTAAAAAATGTTTTAAGTTGACAGAAAATTTGAAAATATCACTTGATAATCATGTGTTACTGAAAGATTGAAAGATTCATCCCTGAACACCAACGATAATGTCTTAAAAAATGCAATCATTTTGAAAAGACTTAAATGAATAAGCAATACATAGCCTGGTGGGGGCTCACAGTCGTGTAAATTAACACTTTGAATTTATCAGGAAAAATTTTATTACGGGAAGTGCGCTGAATGTTTTCAAAATTAGCAAAATGAAAAGTTAGCTCTGCTACTAGCGCATTAGCAGATTAGCGGAAGCGTGTGTGTGTGTGTGTGTGTGTATGTAAAGGAAGTGTGAGTAGGGTTGTCCACATGCTCACCCTCTCAGTATGTGCTCACATACTAAACAGTCATTTCCTTCTTTCTTATTATCCCTTTTGACGTGGAAGTAAGGAAACGTTTGTTCAATACAGTTTGTACAGGGAGCCACGTATTAAACCCTGTGGAACTCCCTAAAGGATTTGCAACAAATCGGAGATAGAATGATGATTGTTGTATTTGAACTGTGTTGCTGGAACGTTAACCAACTCTCCCTTATAGAAAAATATGTTATTAAGTCTCCAACTTCTATAGGCAACTTAAACCTCAAACTTTGTGCTTGGACGTTGCTTAAAATAAAGTATCCCTCGAATAAACCCGCATTAAGGATCTTTTCTCGCTCCAGATAGTGTAGTTGGGCAATGAATCGCTGACACAACGCTGTGCTTTTAACTTTTTCTTTAAATCAAGCAGCTTGCGGTCTCCATGCTTCTTCAAAATGTGGTTTAAACGACACTGAAAGCAGAAGTGAAAGAGATGAAAGACAGAAAACAAAAGTCAGGACTTACTACACATGACAGAGACACACCCATTCATAAAACCCGAGCGATTATGTTAAAGCTCATCCGACCGGCTCCAACAGATGCAGCATTCAACCGGATCAAGAAACACCTCAGGTGTTAAAGGTTCCACTTTCTCTTTGACAGACAGATATTTGTCTGCAGTACACATGACAGGCTTATAAACATTGGGATTTAAACTTTGGCCTTGTTATCTCTTTTAAATAAATCAAATTATTACAATAGAAATGTTTTATTCTTTTGGCTTATTTGCCGGAACCCTGAATTCACCTTTAACTTTATCTCAATTTACTGTGCAAAAATTTTGAATCATGACTCATTTGTCCAGACATTTTAAAGATCTGTTTAACATTTTTCGTTTCTGGGTTCAGTCCAGCACTTTACCGGTTTCAGCGGAGTGTTTGGCTTTGTTTTGTTTTTTGGGAGGTTGCATTTATTAGACTCCTTAATTTTCCATCAGTGGTCACTGAAAAAAAAAAAAGAAGAAAGAATTCTGACTTTTTCAAAATTCTGACTTTAATCTTAGAATTAGGAATTTAAAGTCAGAATTCTGAAATAAATCAGAATTCTTAAAAAAAGAAAAAGTCAGGATTCCAAAAATTAAAGCCATAATTGTAAAGTGGGAATTCTGACTTTTTTTTTTTTGCAGGGAGGGGTGCAAATAAATCATAATTCCAAAAATAGTCAGAATTTGAGAAAAAAAATTAATTCTGAGAAAAAATCTTACTTTAATCTCGTAATTCCATAATTAAAGTCAGAATTCTGAGATCTAAGATTAAATTATTTTTGACTCGTCTCTGAAAACAAATAGTAGTAATGGCGAGAATGAGAATGAGTGGAGTTTTTTTGTCTATCTTTTTCCGGCTATAGTTCTGGTAGCACCTGTTCTGAACTGTTTGATGGGATTTCCCCTCGTCTTTGAGATTTCAGCTTCGGGGGCATCATTTACTGAATTTCTGACATGTTTTGGTCAAAGTGCAATACAAACACAGTCCCTTCCACGCCATCTTTAGAGGTTTTCTTTACAACTGTTTAAGAGCAATTAATTTTGAATATAGTCAGTTTAACAGAAATACATTAAGTCAATTTTTATTTATTTTGATTTTATTTACTCTACTTTAGTTTACCTCAGTTCACATCAGTTCAGCTTCATTTAACATCTTTTTCAGAGATCCTTTGACTCTGTTGTGTATGGTGGTGCAGATATTTATGCCATTTATTGTGTTTTTGCCAGTGAGAAGGACAAAGAACAAAAGAATTAAATAAAAAAGAGAAATAACTTAAATATTTTATAGTTTAATATATTTAGAGCCAAAAAGCTGTATGTTTCAGACCCCTGAGATGAAAACTGTGATTCTTTCAATAGAGTTGAAGCTAAAATTTTATTTTTAATTCCTTATTACAATAAAAATATCAAGGTAAAATCTCAAATTTATCCAACGCACCAAGTAGTCAAATTCTATTTCCAGTTTTATAAGTGCACAGCCCCCTTTTTACCCCCCATCTAGAACTGCTCATGTCACTGAATAGTTTGTGTTTTTAAACAAATATTTTATGGTAAATCATATTATTGTTATTGTAACTAATGAAAGCACGTTAACTTCAGTCCCTCTGGCAACAGGTTCATTAAAACTGGTCATTTATGCTCCCATTTTTAAAGGCAGTGTCCCACGTTTTGGTTTATTTTGTCTGCTTTCCAGTAGTTTGTGCCCATAAACAGCTTGTGTCCAACAGGTTGTTTGGAAAATCATTAATCAGTGATTTAAGATGGATAACCTATTAATACTTTTTTAGAATTAACCTAAAAAGTGTGATAGGACAAATGTTTGCTTTAACAAATATATATATATATATATATATATATTATATATATATATATATATATATATATATATATATATATATATATATTTTAAAACATCAACAAGGTTTTGCCCATTTATTTTAAATGAAAGAAATAACTTAGATGTTAAGAAAAGGACGTGGTCCTGTCTGAGCTCCAGGTATTTTTTTTAATGGTTGGCTTAAAGTCAGAATAAAATGTTGAAGAGTTCAGGTTCAGCTCTGAGGAGGAAACGGGTCAGCAGAGGAAGAGAGAGGAATCTGTGTGTGTGTGTGGGGGGGGGGGTTTCAACGTGCATGTGTGTGTGTGTGTGTGTGTGTGTATGGGAGGTATGGGTAGAGAAGGGGGCGGGGCAGCGCTGAGGAGAGGCCAAAGGGAAAGTCCTTCTCTTGAAGCTGAGCGTTTACAAGAAACAGCTACACGCCTGCCGCCTGATTACACAACAGACACACATACACTCCCTGATTGTCACACTGTCAGTGTGACCAGGAAGGCGGCTGACTGCCGGAGGTTGAAAATGCAGGAAGCATGAAGAGAAACAGAAGTTTTCCCCGGTTTTCAGGGAGGGATCGTTTCGCACCTCGTGCAGCTCATCTGCTCTCTCCGTTTGTTTGCGCCGGCTTTTTCTCGCCGCGTCTCGGTTCTTTTCTCGCCTCTTTGTCGCTCTGGGTCGAGGCTGGTTCCCCTCTCCTTCTCTCTCCTGCAAAACCAAAAGCAGAAGGTTCAATTGCAACCCTGCAGAGTTGCAATTAAACACACTCCAAAAAAAATCGAGTTTACTGCATGTTCACTCAGACTTCACGTGCCTCCTGGCTTTGCAGCAATAAAAGGATAAGATAAAGGTGTAAAAGCTAAGCTATTACGAGGCAGCATGTGATTTCTAAAACTGACACAGAATATCAAAAAAATATAAGCAACTCTGGAAATATGAAGTTAAAACCGATCACCTTGAGACAGAAAGAAAGTAGAGCAGATTTCAGATATTTTTTTTAATAAAATAAAAATGTCAGGGTCTAATTTCCAGACCCTTTTTAATGATGAAACCAGGATAATTTTAGTAATAAAATGTGCTTTATGGCACTGTGTGTATATAAAGAGCCAATCTGCTGTATTGGCCAAAAGTTACTGAAGATTATGCTTCATTTTCAGGTTCAGTTTTCATCCACTAACTTGAATAAATTTACCAAACTCCTCCTGTTTCCCATTCCAATTAATTTGTTTGAAAACATTTAGAGTTTGGATTCTGTTTGCAAGTTAACAATTACATTAATCCATTAGTACATTAATTAGAAAGTGACTTTTAAGTTTTATGAGTTTGAAAACTTCCTGCAAACGACTGCATGGCTGCTGTCTAGTGGATTCAGAGTGAAGATAAGGATTATAAATGGCAGGAAATATTCCCATTTCAAAGCGAAGGTGAAAGTATGCAGATCGTAATCTCTTATGCTATTTTATTACAATAAACAGTTGGTTTATTTGAACTAACCGAGCCACTTTAGTTTATAACAACAAAAAATATATAGAAAAAAAAGAAAATTATTATTATGAGCCCACTTTGTAACAATTCAACTTTAGTAAGAGTTGAATTGAAATATATCACTCTGTCTAGCTAACATTTAAAAATACAGGAAAATAAATATGCTGATAAGTGGCAGGTCTCCATTGAGCAGTATGGTTAGGTTCGCTATTTTATGTACGTATGAGACATTTCAACTCACACTGAGCAGACAGGGCTAAACCCAAACGGCTAACATGGCGTCCCACTAGCGGCTAAACCTAAACAGCTAACATGGCGTCCCACTAGCGGCTAAACCAAAACAGCTAACATGGCGTCCGACTAGCGGCTAAACCAAAACGGCTAACATGGCGTCCCATTATCGGCTAAACCCAAACGGCTAACATGAGGTCCCACTAGCAGCTAGATCCAAACGGTTAACATGGCGTCCCACTAGCAGCTAAACCCAAACGGCTAACATGGCGTCCCACTAGTAGCTAAACCCAAACAGCTAACATGGCGTCCCACTAGCAGCTAAACCCAAACGGCTAACATGGTGTCCCACTAGCAGCTAAACCCAAACAACTAACATGGCGTCCCACTAGCAGCTAGATTCAAACGGCTAACATGGCGTCCCACTAGCAGCTAAACCCAAACGGCTAACATAGCGTCCCACTAGCAGCTAGACCCAAACGGCTAACATGGCGTCCCACTGGCGCGACGACTAACGTGACGCGCTAGCTGTTAGCATGTCTTTATTGTTGCAAGCAATAACGTTTTTCTGTGCGCCAATCGATTGACTGTGTTGTGTGACACCCCAAAATAAAATAAAATAAAATAAAAATCAAGAGGGTGTGTGATGCCACTAACTGTGCAGTTATCGTTGTTCATTGACATCGGTTATATGGGCCGATTTTACAACGGAACCGTACCGAACCGAACAGACGCCTACTGAAACGAAGCCGAAATGGGATTTCACATAATAGATACATGTCACTCATTATTCATACTGGTTTAACGTAGAGGGACTCCAGAAAACATTTGGAAGCCATATAGATTATTTCTATGTTGTACAATTTAAGCAGATAATATATAAATATCCATTTAAAACACAGGGTGACCAATTAGTGCCAATTCAATGTGAGCATATGGGGCCTAAATAGACTTATGGGTTGGGTATCTACTACAGAAAAACCTATAAAATTGGTTAAAATTACAAGCCATCACTATAAACAATAATTATTATTTGTGGGAAAAAATACTGCACAGTAATAGTTCAAATGAGACAACAATGACATTTAAATTTAATGATGGGCTTACCAGAGCAGAGGTGCTGCTGCTGTACTCCTCCGCCGACAGGGAGCCGCAGGGGCTGCTCAGCTCACTCATCCCGGTGTCCATGAACAGCAGGGGCATGTTTCTCCTCCAGCAGCTGGTCCGACTCTCACCCGGTCCGGATCAGAGCACATCCAGCCTGGCAGGGTGAGTCAGACCGACCCACCTGGACTGCAGGTGGCGCGGTGAGCCGCTGATGCTGTGTGAGGACTGAGCCGCTCAGTTTTGAGTGCAGGCGGTTTGACTCCCTGCAGATGATGATGATGATGATGATGATGCAACCTGACTCAGCAGCCTCTTTCGGTTTCTCTTTATTCTAAACGGCCCGGTTGATGCTAAGGCTGATATTTAGGTTGCCTTCACTTGCTGTTTGTTGGTTTCACTTAGCACACGTGTAAAACAAAAGGCGCTCAAAAGTCCCGCAAACATGGCGCCCCACACACTGACACTCGCGATGATTGCACATTTCCAGAGACAAATCTGTTTCCAGGAGAAAAACATTTGCGGCAACCAGAAAACTGTAACCGCTGTTTCCCACGACCCGTGAAGGGCTCCACGCTCTTCCAGACGGAAACTTTGACCAAATTAGGAGAAAGGTGGTCGGCTTCCGCCAAGTACAGGGAATTTCTGGAGTCAATTTTGCCGGGAAACGAGCAGAAGCCACCCCCACCCCCCTCAGAAAACTGCTGCTTTTACTGGACCCTGCGTGGAAAAGGGCTTCCCACGAATCCGTTAATGACTCCAGCTTGCAGCCAAAAGCTGAACACCATCCTGAGTCAGAGGTTTCTTCACAAAGCTGCTTTCTTTCTGCTCCTCTGCAGAGTGTACAGTAGTCCAAAAAGAACGTTCTGTTCAAAGGAAAATAATCCTTTGCAGTCATTTCACTCATATACGTATATATGGATCAGAACATAGTTTATTTCTCCCCTAGGAGAAATTGCGTGTTGGTAGACAGGCTCCAATCTAGAATGTTAAATATTAGCAAACATAACAATTAGTGGTATGGAATTTATAACACGTGTGTAAATACAAGAAATGTATGTATAAAATGCATTAAATGAATACCAATGAGAACGAGTATTTAAATGGAAATATGTGACTCTACAAAATTTTTCCTTCTGTCACTTCTGGACTGATATAGTTGGTGTAAAATATCTTATTTTAAAACTATTTCCACATTTAATACAACCTTTGTCCTGTTTGATTCAACTGACAAATAGCACATTTGAAAATGTATGAAAAGTAGCACTGACTAGTTGCACGCCCTTAAAGGGCAGTGTTGTGTGCTTTCCAGCCGCATAGGGTCGTTTTATAGCATAATGAATTAACTATGTTACCTTAAGTTGCTATAAATAAAAGCTGTATGTATCAAACATGACTTAAAATAAAATTTACTCTTTAAAAACTCTGCCTCCAGGAAGTCATCACAACATGTTCTTCTATTAACCCTTATACAACATATTTATCGACTTTGGACTGAGAAGTAGCTCAGCATGTGTGCAGTTCCGCCAGGTGTTTGCTAATTGCTGCTGGCTAGTCTGAAGGAGCAGAGGGAGGGACTCAGAGGGATGAGCACCCCTCAACAAGTCACTGCTACTTTGACTCAGCTTCTTAAAACTTACAAGTTTCTGGAAGCTCAGAAACTTAAAAACCGCAGCCCAGAGGCAGAGCTGCGTCTTGTAGGCGGGGCTAGATCCACCCAGGCATTTTGTACAGCTCCATGGTTGAATTGGAGATTCTCAAACATGCATGAAAGAATCAAAGCAACACTCCAAGTGTGATTTTGGTGAGGGAATAACGTTAAGAAATTGATTTTACATAACACTCCCCTTTAAACTTCAACGACGTCTTCCTGCTGCTTCACTTTTCTCCTTCATGCTCTGACTTGTTTAATTCATCTTCTGTCCAGGGTAGGCCTCACCTCTCCAGGGTTTTTCCACTCTTCCATGCTAAAATTATCTGTAAATGTGCTGCCTGCTAAAGTTTTGATTCCTGACCGTTATGACCCAGCAATGCTCGTGACCTCATTCTGATAAAAACTGACCTTTTAGCCTTTTATGGCTTTCTTTGGACAGAAAACATTTTAATTGACAAAAAAAAAAAAGATGACAAACTGCAAACTGTTTTTTTATATATAGATTTGTACTAGACAGTCTGCACTTGAGGTTTTGCTTCTCCATAATCATTGCTTTCATATCTTCTTTTTTACTTGATGGTGTTTTTATTTTAAAGACTTTCGTAGCATCATTGTAACCCTGCAGTCTCTTCTCGGTTTTACAAAATATGAGCTGGTTTCTAAGATTATCTTAGGAGAAGCATTTCATTTTAAGAAATGTCACTTGCAATAACTGCACTTTCAAACTGTTTTGGTTTTTACTCCTTTTCGTACTCTTTGTTTTTCTTTTTTTTCTTTTACAAACTGCAAAAGGTACAGAAATTGTTTGCTTGAACACTGTGGACAGGTTGCCAGTCAGTCACACGCTATATTTACATTTCTACTTATTTTGTCACTACAGAGTGAAAGGTATTTCTTCAGGAATTTATGTGATAGACCAAAACAAATTACTTTACTGGGCCATTTTTACACAGGAATGAGGATCACATTTCCTGACCTGGTATTTAGAATTATAGTGTAAATCAAACTTTGACCACTTGGTGGCGACAAAAAACCCACATATCACTTGTGTACATTTTTCTGAACCTGACAGATAAAATAATTACACGAATATAATGGGTAAATGAAACAAAAATAACTATAAAATATTTATAATATTTTATTTTTTGCTTTTAAAAAAAATTTTGATTTTAAAAAATCTGCAAAAAACTAGTGAACATATCACGAAAAGTACATTATTCAAACAGTCCCATATTATTTTAAGGTTGTAATAGTTAAATTTTGTTTATTTAACACAATCTGAGGTAAAAAACAACAACAAACAAACAAAAAACTGAAGAAAACATAGACAGCAATAAATAGCATATTGCAGTAGAAGGGTCAGAAAAATTATGTAAATTCTCCACTGAAATAATAAAAGTGATATCAGTCTATAAGTGTTATACCATCATCTATACACAAAACAAATAATAAACATTGGCAACATACGGTTACCATATTGATTTATACTAATAAACAAAAACAAGTGTTTGATTAAAAACAACTGCAACACAATAATTAGATACTCTTTATTTATCTATTTATTTCATTAAGTACAGGAATTTTTGTCAGCCAAGTGAAAAACAATATTCCCTAGTTAAGCATCCCATAATAGAAAATTTATGAAAATCTAAAATTGTTTAATAAAAACAGATTTCAAAGTTAAATAAATCTTGAGAAAACATTTGTGCAATAGAATTGAATGAACAGACCATGTTTAAAATGTATTTAAAATGTCTTCACATCTGTGTTAAACAAAAGTTCCTGAAATTTTATCATTTAAATCTTTTAATGAAAGTCATCGTTTGCAGAGAGGTTTCAAAGGATTAAATGGAAACAGAACTTAACATATAGAAAAATATGTGCAAATAATGCACAGTTTAATTCTGTTGCGGCACATAGCTTCCCGCCCCAACATGGCGGAGGCGTTGACGTATAGCGGCAGAAGTTTTTAACCGTTTTCAGTACAGTTTCACCCTAGCTAACCATTGGCCAATCAACGAGCTTCATACGTAACAGCCAATCGGACCTGTTTTAGAAAGAAATTAACCAATCGGAGGCTAGAAGGGTGGGTCCAACACTCCCGGATGCGTGATGGATTCCAATGCTTCTGAAAGCTAACATGTTTAGCCATTAACTAACGGTTACTGTCTTTGTAATGCGAAAATATTTATTTTGAGGGATTTTTTACACTTCAAGATGGGTTTGTTGACGATATTAAAGAAGATGAAGCAGAAGGAGCGTGAGATGAGGCTTCTGATGCTGTATCCTTTTCCATAACGGTTAGCTAATAGCAAAGTAGCATGCAGAATGAAAGGCAAAAAGCAGAAAAAATTAGTATAAAAGAGCAGTTACGTTTAACGCTGCACGTTTTTCTCTTTTCTTATCACAATACTTTATAATTGAAAAGTAGATAAATATATAACAATGTATTTAAATGAGGATGTCTAGGCGAGTTTACGTGTAGCATCATATTCAAAGGTAATTCAAAGCGCTTTAGAAAGAACTGAAGGAACAGATGTAAAGAAATTAAAATTTATTTTTAAAAATAACTGGACTTAATGTCAGACAGTGAGAAATAATCTAGTGATACAGTTTGAACAACATCCTTCTCACAGATGCACATCAAATCAAAGGGAACAAAATCAGATGGAATAATTGTCCAAACATGCAAAGCCTCAGCCAAAAAAAGGAACAAGTGAACTAATATAGTAGAGCCAATCTAGCGTCCTGCCATCATAAGTGGTGCCATTCAAGAGTACAACCATAATTATGAGGGTTTTCTCAAAATTAGCTGGTTTAAATTTGGCTTCTGGTTTGAGGATTCCCAATAAAGTGCTAAAGCAGGATATTAATGTTGCTTTATTTGGTATTTTCTATACAAAATTACTAAATAAATAAATCAGTGTTTATCTGAAGCTGCGTGGAGTTTCTTTAACTTTGCTCCCTGCAGAGGTCTGGATAACGCAGGGAAGACGACCATCCTGAAGAAGTTCAACGGAGAAGACGTCAGCACCATCTCCCCAACGCTGGGCTTCAACATCAAAACCCTGGAGCACAGAGGGTCAGTAACTCTCAGTCCTGCTGGACAAAAGCTTTGCTTTTCACTTTTAAGACATGAGAAAATCATGTGTGGCAGGAAAAAGCTTTAGCGTTATTTAATCTGGGCGTTGGAAGTAATCATCTGTGAAAAGTGCTGAATTTCCACCTTGATTTTTCCAGCTTTAAGCTGAATATTTGGGATGTTGGAGGCCAGAAGTCCCTGCGCTCCTACTGGAGGAACTACTTTGAGAGCACAGACGGGCTGGTGTGGGTGGTGGACAGCGCTGACCGACTCCGACTGGAGGACTGCAGGCAGGAACTGAGCGCGCTGCTGCTGGAGGAGGTTCAGCTTACTTCTGCTTCTGGTTAAAGTCATGTACATAGAAACTACAGTCATGAAATGTAATGTTTCAGTATTTCGGTTGGTTTGTTTTCCTGGCAACAATCAAGAATTATAAGTAAGTAGGTGAGTTTTACATAAACTCGTCACATCTCAGTTGATCGAAGATGCTGTGTGACATGGACACAGGATGTTGGCAAAACAAATCTGCCACTCTGGAAGGAAATAATTAGTGAGGTAGAGCTGAAATGATTAATCGATTATTGAGATAATTCTCAACGAACTTAATAATAAATTAACTGTTAATAGATGTAAAATATTAACAGTGTTAATATAGAACAATAGAACAGACTCAAGAGCTATAAAACATTTTTTTCTAAATATGTTCAACTCAGAACTTGATAATTTTAGCTTTTTGGTTCAAATTCTGTCAAAATACGTGAAACACATTTTTATCTAAAGATGATTCCTTTACCACAAATGATCAAGTGTTCAGTGAAGGAATGAATAATCAAAGAATTTATGTATTTCTATTGTATAAAAAAATGCTTAAGTGAAAATTCTGCAGGATGTATCAAATTTTTGCCTATTTTTTCTATCCAGTCAGAATAATTTAGTTAGTCCAGCTGTACTGCAGAGTCCAGGTGATTCATTTCCATCATCTTTTTTCTTGTTGCAGAGATTAGCTGGTGCAACGCTGCTGGTGTTTGCCAACAAACAAGATTTACCAGGAGCGCTGACCAAAGAGGCGATACGAGAGGTAAACTAAAACAAGTCCCAACTTTTATAAATGGGCTTATTTTATGTTTGCTTTTCTTTTTAATGCAGGCGTTGGCTCTGGATGACATCAAAACTCATCACTGGTGCATCATCGGCTGCAGCGCAGTGACAGGAGAGAACCTGTTGGCCGGAGTGGACTGGTTGTTGGATGATATTGCCGCAAGGATCTTCACCTCAGAATGAGACGCTGGTTCTGTTAGAATTAGAAACCTGGACTGTTTTTTCTATTTTGTGTTGTAAGACATGTTTGATTTCCTTTATTAAATAGTTGTCCCTGAGTTGGAGGTTTGAATTGACGATATCTGCAAAGCAGAAACCCAGCTAAAGGTTTAAATCCCAGCCATAACCCATCTTTGTGGAAACTACACTTATTTTGTCAGTTTTTAAACTATTTTCAGCACCATTTATGGATCAAACATGCGACCTAGAACTAGCTAGAAGCTGGTGGTTCTAGTTTCCAGATGTTTTGTCTGCTGGTTCATTTAAAGGTTAAGAGAATCAAGATGGAGGTAAAGCTTCCATCACGTCTGCTTCTATGCTCCAGACCGTATTAATGTTCATTAATGGTTTTAGTTAATATTTTTGCCACAAATCTCAGCTTCTTAAGAACAAACCAGGATCAAATCCAGCAGCAAAAGAGAAAAAGTATAACAACTCCTTCGAGTCCAGAACTCATTTTGCACCTTTTGTCTTAAGTTTCAACTCATTTGTCTCCTGCTAGTTAAAAACTGATAAATGTGCTTTTAGTCAGACGGGACAGCACATTAGTTATTTTTATTAAGTGTTCTAGGAATTAAAAGTAAAAGAGTAAATGAGTTTGAATTGGTAATATTTTGCCTGGAGGGAAAAAAACCAAATCAGATTAATCCCATGGGTTTTTTTCCCCCATCAAGTTTGACTTGAGCTCTGGAATTTATGTTCCCCCTAAAACCCAAATAAATATAAAATTCTAATGCAGTTTAATTTTTTATAGGAAAAAAAAAAGACAATTTTTATATTTCATTTCAGTTTTAATGCACAGAAAACAGTTTAAAAAATCTCAACAGCAAATTCTTCAGATGCAGCTGGAGTCCTGCATAAGAGGAAAAAAGGATTTGTTAGATGAGACTAGACAGATGGTGGGATGTAAAAGTTCAGGGAGCTAATAAACACCACACAAATCAGAACAATACCAATCAGTCATTGATTCTCAGACTGGGGCGGTCACAGAAACTCATCACGATGCAAGTGGTCGTTTCTAAAAATATAAAACTCAAAGATGCGCTGATACTCACCAGCAAACCTCAAACCAAGACGTCAGGCTGTCAAAAAGAGGCATAGAGTCAACATTTACTTAATAGAAATTACCATTACAGATGTGCAAACCATAAGAACCAAAGAGTTTGAGACTGGGATGTGATCAGTTGTGGTTTTCAGTCAGACCCTCAGCCAGAACTCCATCAGAACTCAGCAGGTCACCTTACACCTGAGAAACTCAGGGTTCTCAGCGCCAATACTGAGCGGAATCCCAGCGGAAACCGGCTGAGAACGGGGTGGTGGGGTGGACGTTTCCCCCCCCCGTCACTGAGGTGTTAGGGGTTAGCCTCATCACTTCTACAATCCCAGGCACACTTCAGAGTTGGTTTTACATACCTGGAACACAGAATCTGCTCAGTTTCATCATCTTTGAGAAGAAAACCTGGAAAAAAAAAAAAAAAAGCAGCGAATTAGTGGCCGAGTGACAACCGGACTATGAGCAGAGGTCCAGTCTGCTTCTCAGACTGGAGCGGTAACAAAAATAAATAAATAATAAAGTTTTGGTCTTTTCTTGGAAACCAATTTAATCACATTTCAAATTTATTGGCACTTTAAATGCCTGACCAAAGGAGAAAATGGTAAACGATTCCCATAATTTAAAAATCTATTAGAATTTAGAATAAGGTAAAATTCTTAATTTCTCACTGTAAATGATAAACCTCCACCATTACAATTCATAAGCCACTTTGCTGCATTAGTGTTGGTTGTGCAGGAGGCTCCACTTCTGCTTTTCAACAATGTACAGTTGTATAATTGTGTATTAGTCTGAAAGCTCAATAGGCAGAACTGAGCAGATTAAAATCTCATTATCCAAGAATGATATTGTGCAAAGAAAAACAAATATGTTTCACACAGATAAATCCTAATCATTAAAGTTCCCTTTAAAAAAAAAAACTCACCAATATGGTTCAGTTGATGATTTCCATCTGAAAAACAGAAAGGGTCCAAAGTGATGATCATGACATTTATTGATTCTGATGTACAACATGTAACTAGGATGAGGTCAGATAGAGATTTCAGTCAGAACTCTGCCAGAACCACCAGCTCCATCAGAACTCAGCAGGTTACTTTACACCTGAGGAGCTGTCAGGCTTCTCAGTACCAAACTGAGTCAACAGGGGGGGATACTGGCAGGCCGGGACGATCTGAAAAACCCCAGGACTGCTCCAGGTGCACATCATTCCCGTCACCAACAAAAACATGAGACTTTGTTCAGTCCCAGTCAGAAGGTTACATTCACTCAAGCAAACTGGCTTTTAATGGCAGAGTAACAAATTTCAACCAACTGACTCAAACCATCACAACATATAATTAATTCAAAAGAGAAGATATCCTGTAGTAGTTTGTATCGCAGTGGCTTTGAAGAAGCTTCTGACTGAAGCCGTTTCCCTCCATATCACTCAAATTAAAATGATAAGTCAGAATTACTTCTCTCCTGAACCAATTAAAACTCAGACGAGACATTGATAAAACACAAGGGTTGGGGAAAAAAAAAACTTACTACAACACTACTGAGTGATGGAATAATTCAACTTAACCTCAAGTTTCTAACTGATTAGAGAATTGGTGCAAATATTGAGTTAATGCTTCACCCTCAGTTGGTGTTTAAATAAAAATGAATCCCAATCCCCCTGGAAACAGCCTGCACCAGTTCATACATCCATGTAAACCTTCTGACCAGAACTGAAACTCAGATCCCTTCAAATATGGAAGAAAAATAAACTCACCAATATGGTTCAGGCAACTTGAACCTGGGAGGAAAGGAAAGTAAATCAGAATTAACATTTAAAAACAACTAAAGTGACAAGTTAAAGAAACATTCCTGCAGCTTGTACAGTCTTAAAATTGTACAAAATAACTGAAAAAGGTTTCTGAGTTGAACTATTGTCTTTCAATGAAAAATTTAAGACTTCCCAGTTGGGAGAAGAAAAAAAAAAAAAAATCCCTCCAGTGTTAGATTTACTATTGGGAAATCCTGACTACCCCTAGTTACTACTTGCAAGGCGGATTCTTATTTTGATCTCTCCTTCCTTCCACAGGGTCTTAAAGGGACAGTATTCTGTTTCTCATCAGAACGCAGCACCACTTCACAGCATCATGTAGCGATCGTCACCTTCGGTTGCTCCTGCACCTCTGAACTCAAAGTGACGTTTGCATTTGGAAAGCGTAGCTTTAACTGATGTTTGAGCGGTTGGGTTGGATCAGAGCAATACCAATCAGTCATTACTTCTCAGACTGGGGCGGTAAAAAAGGAATCATCACATCCACCCATCTGCTGGTGGACATTATTGATTAGAACTGACCTCCATCTGCGCTTCGTTCCAACGCTGCGACTCGGGCGGCACCTCCTTCCTGAAAAGCAAACAGGAAGTCATTTACTCCAAGCTTCCATCTTTAGGGTGAATCTGTTTTTGTTTTTAAATGGTCAAATCCCTTCAACACGTTTCCAATCAGACTGTTGGTAACCCCAACAAGTCGTCCCCTTGTTGCAGTGGCAACGCCAGTGGGTTCACCTTTTCAGGTCTGGCATTGGCTCACAGCGTAAGACGCGTGCGGGTGTCATCACTATGGAAACCGGCTACATTTTCCCCTCTCTGAAGTCACATTGCTCACCTGGATGAACAGCAGTTATGTGGAGGGGAACCTCGATGACATCACTTCCTGATTTTGACCTGAAAGAAGGACGAAAGGTGACATTAAAGGACTGAACTGGTTAAATAAAGGTGAATAAACGCTGAACTCCACTGATGTCAGATGGTTTTTTTCTCAACAGCAGTTCAGACGAACGAGATTCCAGATTTTCTCATCATTTCCAGCAGATCAACAGGTTAATGGAGACAAAACCTCAAATTTCCAGATCTTACCTTCAAAACGGGAACGCCATCAGGTCGCCGAGGCTGTTCTATTAAAAATAAAAACAATAGATCAATAAAAAGGATCAGATCACATAAAGAGCCTGAAGACACAGGTGAATGCAGCTGCTCAGGTGTTTGGATAATTTTCACATCGGGTCAAAGTGAGCTGAGTAGTTTTCATCATTGAAGCTGCATTAGAGCTAAAGTTCTCCTACTGGGTGAAAATCAGCACAAAATGCTTAAATGCTCTGTAACAAGCTACAGTGAAGCTTTCAAGATGGAAAATCTTAAGCAGACGAGATAAAGGACAAACCTAAAGTTTATACAATTGGTGTATGATGCTACACATATTCAGAAAATGTGAAAATAAATTAATATTTATGCAACTAAAGGCTTATTGGTGAACAAACTGTTGTTGTTACTCATCTGCATGTGCAAGTCCACATCCTGTACTATTAAAATCAGAACAATTTGTACCCAGCAGTAGATTGTAATGATTTCAAGGATCTACAGAAGATGTAGATTTAAAAATCCTTACCAGGACATGTTTATGACTTTTCAGTCCCAGATGTCGGCCGCTTTAGATTCACTGCAGGAGAAACAGAGATTAGATCAGAACTGAGGAAGAATCGTCTCTGCAGGAAAGTTAAAGGTTTGGATGTTTGATCAGGGCTTTGGTGACAAACTGCCATCTGACATCTGAGTCGTCCAGGAGATTAATGGGTGCTAGCCCATGTCATCCTTTCAAACAATACGACTTTCAGTCTTGAACTAAACAGCGGTAGGATGTGAAGGAAACTTACCCACTAGTGAAGCATTTATCACAGCTGACACTTCATCAGGCTGAAACAAAAATATGCAGGTTATTAACTTGCACAAGCTTCTCCTGTTGTCCCAAATGTTAATCTGAGGGCAATCAGATTAAAAGTTGACATCATTATGTTCAGGCATATGCTTGTCATTAAGGGTAATCATCAAATTTACACCTACAGCTTTTATTAAACCTTAAACCTTGTTTCTTTACTCACCTCCAGTAAGTTTCTAACACCTCTCCAGCATTTACGATGTTATTGGGGAACAAACCCTGCAAGAAAAAGCATCTCATTAGGTAATGTCTTCAAATAAAATATACATTGTTCCGTTATAGGGCTGGTTCAGATAAAAAAAAGCCATCATCAGAAGAGTCAGGCATATGCTTGTCAGTTATAAAATCATCAGTTTAAGCCTTTGGATTAATGGGAATTTCACCTAAAAAGCAGATTACCTGCTGGGCTTGAGGCGTTCATCCTCACTGAAGGTTTTGATCACATCTGTGGGAGAAAAGCGAATAATTAGAATCAACTTCAAACCAAAGTAAAAGTCAGGAATAGTCTATGTTTGCTGGAGCCATCATGCTACTCAGAATCTGGTAAAGGGGTTTCTTCAAAGGTTGATTCGGTAAGAGAGAGTTCAAAAAGATTCATCACTGCAGCAAACAAGCTCCACCAGACAGACTGCGTGTGAATTACTGGTTATTTCACCCCTTCATTTTATTTAACACGACTTCTTTTTCCTTTCTTATGGAAAAAAGTCAAGTAGTTTTCCACTCATCAGAATGGATGGCTGCCATTCAGGAGGATTTTTAATCAATAAAAATGTTTCTTAGGAATCAACTGGTCCAAACTGGTATGTTTAAACTGGAAATTGGATGTAATAAATCCTTAGTAAAAGGATTGAACCACTAACAAAATAAATACTCTGAAGCAAATGAAATTGGTTGGAAGTCTTTAAGAACCAGTAAGAAAGGATGAAATTGTAAAACATTTGGTGAAAAGGTGAACTAACACAGAACCACATATGAAGAAACTTGAAGCCTGAATCCCATTTCATCTCAACGTTTCCAATTCAATATTGTAGTGGGAGGGTAAGACAGTACAGCTTTGGAGGAGTTTAATATATTTTGCAATGACGCAAATCAAAATCCATTCAAAAATACTTTTAATTCAACAACAAATTAAAATACAGTAACTTCTATCTTCCTGGTATCTTATAATGAAGCTGAAGACTGTTGCTGTATGACAGCCATACGACCGTTTTCACACAAATTAAAATTAAACATGATGCTGCTAATCAATTCCATTTGCTTTTGACACTCATCTTTAAATTTCTATCAGGTTGTATGGTTAGGAACCCGGACAGAAAGACTAATTCATGGATAATAAATAACATTTAAACATAAATGGTGCGTTCTGGTTCTACAATGTGTTGATTGTATGGTTAGTGGCAATAACTAAGAAATGGGATTCAGCCGACAATGCTTCCTAATTAAACACTAAATTAATAGTTACCTTCTTTTGCAAGAAGCCTCAAAATCCAAACCTGGAAATAAAAAATATATGTATAAATTGGATTTCAGCAATAAGAGATGTTAAAAATCTTATTCTGGTGGCCTCATGCTACTCAGAATAATTGAATTAATTGTCTTCAGTGGATTATTCAGTGAGAGAGTTCAATTAGAACATCACTGTAGCATGATTTAAAATAAAAATACCTCATTGTGAGCCTAATGCCAGATGCAGACCTCACCTTTAGCAGCAAACCGCGCGCCATTTCTTCTTTGCTAAAGGACAAGAGCATAAATGTTAGTATGCTAAGTTAGCATTTTTCCCAAGCAGCCAACACGTGACTGGTCCATGCAGGACCGGGCAGCATGGATTAGGTTTTAGAAAAATACGACTAAAGAGGTAAAAAAGCAACGTCTCCCATCAGAATAATAAAAGTACAATCACAGTCACTCAGTACAGGTCTGTGAAAATTATCATCATTGAGAGACGATGCAACAACTAGCGAGCAACGGCCATCGCTTTATTCTAGCTGGAAAATATAAAGTTTCCATCCGAAGCTTGGCGAAAATAACGACGCAAAGAGTTCAAAAACACGTTTTGAATTAAGTCTGGAGCATTCAGGGAGCAAGATGAGAATGATTTAAAGGCGGATGGTGGAGGATTTTTCTCAGCTCCGTCGTGCTGCACAGTTGAAAGCAGCGAAGTTTCTGGATTAGTTACACCTGAAAGCTAACTGCGGGCCGCAGGTATCTGTCAGCTGCAGTTCCAATTCTATTTTAGATTATTTGCGTATAATAATGCAATCATATGAACTCATATTTAGGAGAACTGTAATGAAGAAGGAGATAATTCGTCTTACCAGCAGCAAAGGGTAGGAGGAAGTGGAAGAAGAAGCCGGTGCGTCGGCTTTTTATGTCCGTCTCTTTGGCTCCGCCCACCCCGGAGCGTTCAGCGGAAAACGACTTTATCTGCTTTATTTTTAATATATTAAGATTAGAGCACGTTAAAGAAAGCGTATTATAGCAAAAGTATGGTATTTCTTTTAAGAAACTTATTAACTTGTAAAATATGTTTTAAAGAGGCAAAACGTTAATGCTAACGTCACTTCCGTTTCACGGATTTTGACCACAAGGTGGCAGCAGATCCATTCAAAGCAATCATATTTTTTACTTACGTTCTTTTCATTTGACACGAATAATTTTCTTGTTTCCACAGTAATGATTCAAATAATTTAACCATGTAAAAAAAATAGATGTATAAAAATCACTCATTTTTTTCAGTTTCTCAGAAAAGAAAAAAAGAAGAATGTGTCCAGTAGAAATGTACATATTCTGCAATCTGTATATATTTTTGCAAGATTTACAAATGCAATTGAAGTAACTCAACATTCCCATCGACACAGCTACACAACCAGCTGTTGGCCTTCCACCCCGGTCTGCGTGGCCTAGGTGGCGCCACAAAAAATTGTGCCCTAAATTATGAAAAGATTTTTTTTTCATTGCGTTTTTGCATATCTAATCAACACAAACAGGCACCCCGCTGTACAAAGTCCTTATACTTTATGGAGTGGAGAATTGTTAGCACTGTTGCTGTAGGGCAAAGGTCTTGTGTGTATATTAGGAGCTTCTTTGCATGAATTTTGCATGTTTTCCCTATCTAGTTTCTTTCTGGGCATTTCAGCTTCCTTTCATCATTTAAAAGTTGGTTGGTCACTGTAAATGTCACCACCTTTCAGCCATTGAATGTTGAACACTGACAAACTTAGCCTTAAGCTGCTGTGATATAGTGTGCACATTATTTTTATGTTTGCATCAAATTATCTGCTTACATTTCAAAACAGGATCACCAGACTTTGGTTGGAGATCCAGGATTTCCTTTTCAGAGATTAAATTATACTTCCACAAAACCTGTTGTTGGATTTGTTATGTTTGTATAAGATAAGTCATCTTTATTTGACAATTGGTATCAGTCGTGCTGCATGCAGAACTACCACAGCAGCAGGATTGTTTTTGTCTAAATCTGATTCATGTGGGAATAAAAACAGACTTTAGTTATAAATATGCAATTCTTCCACTAAAGTCATACAATGTCCTGCACAATGATTGGTACCTTGTTACAGATGTATAAAAACCCTTAAGTTAGTTTTTGGTTTGTTTGTTTTCTTCTGTTTTTAATGGATTTTCATTTTAAAATTTGAAGAAAATAAAACTTTAATTCAACCTGATTATCAATAAATAAATAAATAATTTTTTTTGTAAACAATTTGTAATTGTTTACAAAGGATGTACAGAACATGTTTTTAAGTAAACTTAGTCATTAGAAGTCATTAGAATCTTAATCACAAAATACATAAAAAATGCATATAACATTAACAATTAAGACAAAAACTTGAAAAGTTCTTAAAGATTTATTGCAAATACAGTTTATTTATGCAAAAATCAATCGTCAACAGCTCTTAAACACACACTGAAGGACACCAGGGTTGCATTAGTCCCAAAACAAAATAAATCTTAAATATTACGATATATTTAAAATAACTATTTACAAAGCATTTTGTATAATTTACTCACAACTCCTGTCAACATTATTTGTATAATAATGTTTTAATTAATGAAAATAAATACCTAAAATAAACATTGCCATTTTCCTGTGCAAAAAATAACACCAAGAAATACACAGTTGCTCAAATTATTGTCTTTTACACTTAGTTGTTGTTTGTCCATTCAAGTTTCTACAACCTTCATGGGAACAAAATAATAGTTGATGTTTTTCTGTGCTGGCATGTAGGCGTTTAAATATTTTTCTATAAATACTGTTAATCAGATGCACTGAGTGTGGATATGAGTCAGAAACAGGTGTAAAGTGGTTGTGTGGGTTTGGGTGTGTATCCAGACTCCTTAACATCAGCTGATCCCTGATCAGCCTTAAATAAAAATGTGGATGTTTCCAAAACAAAAACTCCACCGATCAGTCATCGCTGCTTATGAAATCTTCAGTTCCTTTAGCAGTTACACATCAACACGTGAGCGTTTTCATCATGCCAACCCAAAGGAAACAAGAGATCATCAGTTTATGCTCCTGACGGTAAGTTAAATATAAAACCAAAAAAGATTTTCTCACTCTTTAGAATAAGGTAGGAAATAAAAGGAGCAGCTCAGTCACAAATGTTAGACTTCAATGCAAAATGGTAAAATAAATACCTGCAATCTGCAAACTGAAACAAAGCGTTAAGGCTGCACTGAGCAATCAAGACTCGGTAACAAACATCTATAATTATTGCTTAAGGTCCTGTAAATGTCAGGGTTGAAGCTCCGGCCCTGATTTCATTATGTTGGAGTTTAAAAAGTCTCTACTGAAACTCAGCCAGCACAGACGAGTGCAGGTTCTTCTTCTTCAGCGAAGGCGAGGTCGATGTTGGCGAGGAGGGCGTCACAGGAGTGAGCGTGACGCTGTAGAGGTTGGTGATGAAGGCCTCCCAGCCGCGACGAAGCGCCCGATCAAGCGCCTGAAGGAAAAGATGATAATTATGCATGAATTCAACAGATTAGTCCTGTTTTAGTTACTTTGGATTACATTGTAATGTTTTTATTTTTGCTTTTTACTGCAAGATTGTTCATATCTCTCATGGTATTTTGTTCTGGTCACCTGTAGGGTTCACTGGAAACTGAAATTTCCCTGTTAGGAGCACAAGCTGCCTATTGTTTCTAAAAGTGGAGCGGCTATGTCACTCTTTTCTGGGAAAGGAAAGTAACTAGGAAATAAAGTCTGATACGCTTGGGAATATTTACATTTCAGGGACTTTTACCGGCAGGAACTTCAACAGAACCAACAGTGGTGAAAAGGACCATCAGAAGTCACAATAATATGGATCTTCCCATTTATTACCCAGGTCTGGAAAAGTTAAAACAGTGTTTCAAAGAATCTTTGTTCAGAGTAGAATAACTCAGTTCACACACAAACAATTTAGAAATTTAGATGTTGAGCTGGTGATCAAATGTGGCTTTGATACCTTAAATAAAACAGGAGAAGATCTGCTTGGAGGGTTTTCAATGAATAATTAGATAAATCTGAATAAGCATGTGGCTGAGATACATCCAATAATAATGTCAAAAACCATAAAAGCTTAAGTGTAAAGTTGTCAGCCAGTTGATATTTGTCAAATATCTTTGACTAATATCGTCAAAGATATTTGACAACAATGTTTATTCAATCCTTTAATGCAGAAATCTAGTCTAGATTTCCGGAGAGAGTCAGACGTGATTCATGGGGCTTTTCAGTGGAAAAACTTCATATTTGGCCATTTTCATGCTGAAAAAGTCCTAATCTGGTGGTACAGGGGGGTCTGACTGTGAGAATTGTGTTGGTGGATTAACATCAGAGGAATGTTTTCATCCGTTGGTTTGATAGGAAGGCTCTCGTTTCAGTCCACTGATCAAAGAACGAGACACGGGAGACTCAGGAATGCCACCTCGGCGTGAGCGCGTCTCAGTCGGAGCAGAAAATCTCTACGACATGCGAGGATGGTGAAAGTACACGTTTCACGCCGCCTGATGACCTTTGTCCCCTGGTTTAATTTTTATGACCCATTAAGGGTGAGGTAAAGGAAAACTTGCAATTACTGTGCTGGTGATATGCACCAGTGGCTGCTGTACTTTGTCCCAGGTGGTGATGTACTATTAAGGTGGCATGAAGGGTTTCCTTGGTGATTAATAACCAATGATGAGCCTGAACTTTGCCCTCTTGTTCCACATGCTCGGTTACATAACCTTTAAGGGGATTAAAGTTTAACCAAGCGGCATAAATGTGGAATTTGTCTGACATCTTAAACCGGCAGAAACAAAGTCTCACCTTGCGATAATTCTTCCTCTTCACCATTTTCATGCCTTCCTCTTGCTCCTTCTTCATCTTCCTCTCTTCCTCTGACTCTTCCTCCTCTTCTTCTCTCCCTCTCTTGTTGTCTCGGATCAGAACCCGGTCATCTGCAAACTCCCGAACTTGGAAGTGAACAAGGCCGGGCTCCTTCACCGTTTCTTCCTCCGTCTTTACCTTCATCTTGTCTTCCTGAACTTCTGGGCAGGACGTCTCGCTTTGGGTTTGGTCCTCTTCAGCCTTCTCGTCCTTCTGCTTCCTCCTGGTGCTTCTTCTCCACCTGCTGCTGAGGCGGCTCGGCTTTCTCTGCAGGAGAGTCTCTCCGTCGTCCTCAATCGCCCCAAACCCCTCCACATCTTCATCTGCCAAGGTGTTGGGTACCGTTGTGGAGAAGGAACTGCCATCTTTGACCTCAGCCACAACGTTAGCACTGTTTACTTCACACCCGTCGTCTGTGGCGGTCTCGGGTTCATCAAGGCGGCCGTAGAAGCCGCTGGATTTATCGAGGAATTTAGGGGCCCGGATGGAGCTTCGGGTTGAGGTTTTCCTTGAGTTTCTGCCGATTGTCATCTTGTCTTTGCTTTCTTCTTAAACACTTCTTTGTTTATCCTAAAACAGAAAAGACATGACAGATTAAGAGATTAACAGCATTACATAATCCTTCAGCATTCTTTAGAGATTATCTATCATGCTTCCTTGAACAGGACAGGATATATATAGAACATGCTCACTGCATTTTTTGCACAAAATCATTCTGAGATAATGAGATTTTAGTCTGGTAACTTCTGCCTATTTCAGAATGAGTCGTCACAGAGACACTAAAACCATTTCCCCCCCCAACTCTCAATGGTGAAAATCGTCGCAAATTTATGTGCAATCATACAGCTGTACTTTTGAAAAGAACAAGTGGAACCTCCTGCACAACTAACAAGAATGCAGTAAATGGTTCCAGGATGGTAAATCAACAACTAAACACTTGTCTTTTTCAGCAGCCATTGTACAGAGCATAAAACTAGCTACCAAACATTGTGTAGCTCAGGTTGGGTTCTAGCTCGGGCTGGGCTGCGCTGGGGTAGTTAGGTAGCGGTGTAGTGCTTGCTGATTTGTGACAATATATTCGGAGATTTTGCATAAGCTCATTTTACAGACACCAAAAACAGCTGTTTTTAACCCCTTTTACTGTTTTTACACCCAAATAGAAGTACAAAAATGCACAAAAATGTAAATTTTTCATACCAAGTCCCCTTTAAATTAAAATTTTCTTGACCTTCAATCAGCTCAGGTCACTCTCAAAGGGTCTGATGCTAAAAGGAGATAAAACTGAGAAGTCAGTACTGTGAAAGATTATTACTGGACAATTCTGGTACAAATTCCAGCTTTGTTGATACAGGTTGTACAAAACTCTGCAGGTTTATTAGTGTAGATCAGCTGCTGTGGATTGTATGTACTGTAAAAGGTCAATGCCAGTGTTATCAGGATTGTCATTAAGCCACATGTCAAAACCAAAGGCACATTGTTCTTACAGATAAATACAAACACAGACAGTTCGACTTTGATATCCAGCTCTCCTGCACAAAGGCAAACTAGCATTCACAATCACAAACTTCAAACTGAAAGGCAAAGTTGAAGCCAGGACACTTTTAGTATGACTCACAAGTTACTAGTAGTCAGGATGTGATAATATCTAAAGCAAAATACCATGAAGTCTGAGCAGGTTTTGTCTTTGGGCAAAATAAACTAAACTTAACCATCTGTCTGACAAAGTTGCTTTAATTTTTAGGGTGTGGTTTAGGTTTTAGCACCATGGTCCATGGAGGAGCCTTAAGCAGGAGCAACTCATGCAACATTTGATTCATCAAAGTGTGAATCAGTCTCATGCTTTGACTGCAGCTGGGAGGGACTGCAATGAGACGACCTGGTTGCCTGTGAGTACGTCAAGAAAAGGGACTGAAAAATAAAAATGACCAAGCCAAGTCTCCAAAAATCTCAAACAATGGAAACAGTTTAAGATTACAAACACTGTCACTAGATTTTGATGATGTTCTTTCATATGGAACAACTTAAATTTCTTAAACGTATCAGCAGCTGGAGTGAATGCTACACATGTTTCCCCATGTTTTTTTTTTGTTTGTTTTGTTTTCTTCTGTGCTCATATTTTGGGATTAAACCAGATGAACCGTCAACCACAGCGGATCAGAGGCAGAACCACTTTGCATGCAATGACACCAAGCACCACCGATGTTCTTCTGCCCAACACAAACCAATACTGGAAAAGTTGGTCTTTGTAAAAAAACACATTTAAGGCATAATGTCTGTTTTAAATAGATGTTAGTTAGATGGTGAATTATCCTCTTTCAGAAGATGCCCATTTTGAAACTAAACAAAACATCTCAATGAAAGGTGTTTGGTTTTTTTAACCTAATTTGACTTTATTATTATTATTTCCTGGTTTTGATATGTCAGCTTTTTTTAATTGGGTAGTTGTGAAATTAACATTGAACTGTAGCTTAGCTGTTTTACATTTGAGTTTTTAAGTTTTCTATAACTTAAAGGAAAAACAAATCCTGAACTTTATATAAAAAGTTGGTAATTTACATCTTTTTAAGATTCATTTTCACGACAGGTACAACTGCTGGTAGCAGAAAGAAATCATTCTGGATATAGAAAAACTGACTAATAACAACTGAATTGAATTAATGTAATTAATAAAACAGTATAGTAAAGTCTTACCTGCTGCTGTCTGGAGTCCTTTTCCTGCTCTGTGTGAATGACTCAGGATGGCTCCCTTAAACGCACCATAAGCTCCGCCCCAACGTGACGTCATTAATGAGCTGAGCTGAACCAGCAGCAAAAAAAAAAAAAAAGTTCCTATCAGGGCCTCTGTACAGTTCAGACGCACCTTGTCTTTGCTCTTAGAGATAAAAACAAACACTGCAAACTAAAACACAAACTAATGCCCAGTTCACACTACACGATTGTCGGGCCCGATTTTCCCCTTACGACAATCTTAGAACGTTCTGTTCAGTAACAGACCAAGAACACGGGTAAGAAAAATAGAGTGGTACACATTGTCCTATGGGATGTGATATATAAATATACTAGATATACTAAATTATATACATTGCATATCCTGTCATACACATATGATCTTAGAATAACAGTACTATAGTTATGCACACAATTTATTCCTCCTTTGATAGTGTCGCACTGCCATTTACGTTCCTTTCCCACCTGTATTTTATAATCGCCATATAAAATTTGTTGTAATCTCAATATTATTTGTCAAATATAATTTCTCTCATAGTTTGTTTGGAATATTTCTTTTTTGTAGGCAATGAAAAAAAAACAGGCTCAACTGCTATCAATTAATTTATTTTCAAGTTGGGTAAAAATCTAAACTGTGCCAAATCAGTCCCATTATGTCCTAACAAACTGCTCACTCATCCATTTATTTGTTCTTTAGTTTGACATCTTTCTGTGTATTTCTTGTAAGGGTTTACATCCTGAACCTGCCAGCAACATGGTGGTGCGGAAGCCCAAAGCTATGGGGAAAAGATATCTGCACTCCACACTTTACAGAGCTTACACAGGTATAACATTTGGTTTATGTTTTTACACGTATGTTTCCTTTGTCAGAATTTATTATGATTATGATTATGATGTTTGTAGGACCACTTCCAGATCCCGACATTCTGACATTAGGAGAAAAACTACGCCAGCTGGAGTCCCAACCACTTATCGCTCTTGTCCTAGATGCTCTTTCACATTTGGAGCTGGTTCTATCCAAATTTGGGCCTGTGCCACAGGGCTCACCAATGTCTTATCAGTGCCCACCTGAAAAGTCCTCTGGTAGCGTCATTCTGCACCACATGGCTCCAGACTTCCCTTCTCTTCCTTTGATGCTGCATAGTCTTCCAAATATGTGCTTTGTGCCCACACTTGGTCAACTTATGCTTCTTCATTCTCTGCAAGTGTCACTGGAAATGTCTTATGAAATAGAAGCCAGAACAAGAGAGCAGTCCAGATGTCCTGCATGGGTACATCTTCGACAACCAAGACTTACTGCTAGCCGTTTCCGTGATGCTTGCAGAGGAGGAGTCTGCTGCCACAGCACTGGCATCTTGGATGATTAGGGGCTCCACTAGATAAACTGCCGCCATGAAGTGTGGTCTGCAGGTGGAGTCTGAGGTGCTGGCAAACTATGCTGAGATGTTGAGGGTCAACGTGCTTCCTGTGGGATTCGCCCTGACACATCATATCTTGGTGCAACTCCAGATGGTAAGGTGTACGACCCGTCAGAATCACCCCCGTTTGGACTGGTTGAGGTAAAAAGCAGCATGAAGAATGATGCATCTCAGGTTGCTCACCTCAAGGTCCAGGATGACCACTCAGTTTTGAGGCGTTCACACGCCTACTGCTGGCAGGTACAGGGTTAGCTGGCAATCAGCAGATTGGAACGGTGCAACTTTCTTACAGACACGCTAACAACAATAACTGTTGAGCGTGTGGCGTGATGAGGCTTTCATTGATCAAATAACTGGGCTTATTTTACTTCATCACCTTCACTGATGTGTTCATGAATTATAAAATGTGCAACTAACCCTTTTGTTCCTTTGCATTTCAAATATCCAATCTCAAGCTGTGTGAATCACTGTAAATAGTTGTTACTCATGAAACATACAGAGATGTGCAAATGTCTTTAAAAGGCAGTTGGATAATTTACTAAAATTTGTTTTCTTAACTGCAGTTGTCTTGAAACTTATGTTTTAAAATTTTTCTCCTTGAGGTTGTCTTAAGTATTTTTTTAAATCAATGTATGGTGTACAATCATAAAATATGAAATAGTTATGGATTTTTTTGTTTTTACTAGATATTGTAAATTGTAACTGATTTGTTTTTCTTGCAATTCAACTTAATACAAAAAGAAAGTCAAGTGTGCTGCCAAAGTGTGTTTTAATTGAATATTTTTTGCAAAAGTCTAGATCCACTTTTTGAAGTCTGGCCTACAACTCCTTCATATAATCCAGAGCTTCATCAAGTGCACCTGTAAAACCACAAAATAAAATAGCAAAACATACGGTTAGCAATAAGTTTTAATTATATATTTGAAACATTACTTCTGTGAAGATCAATACATGTTGTGAGTCGCAGCATGTATGTTTACAGCCATTGACTTAATCTCTCCACAAAATACATAACCACATAATCTCATAATTATGTGATCATAATAATAATAACATTATTATTATAGTAACAGTTATATTTTACTGAAATTCTCTTACATGGGAAATATATACAATATACTATCTTTTACCTGCGGGTGGATGTGCCGTGTAGTCATGGTCCGCAGTAGCATCTTCAGCCTGGCTAGCTTTCTGAGAGGACAAACTGCCGTTTCTTAGCCCTCTCGAAAACAGACTCTCTCATTGCCGGTGCAGTGAAGTTATTCCAGGCAAACAGGGAAGGAACAGCTCCACTTTTAAGGCGGCTGGTGGTGGATCCGCTAACAAAATCCTCCGGTGTGAAGTGGCGGCTACATACGAAAGTGCTCCCCGTCTTTATGCAAAAGTCCGGACCTTCATCTCTTCGGATCGCCTGGATCCACTACCTCCGTTGGTCCGGGTCCGTCGGGAACGCATGATATGACAGATAAGGCTGTTTTCTTGCCCCACATGAACAACCAGGGACTCAACAAAAACAACTGCGCCGAGACTGAGCCATTTTCCTAGCCTTTTAATGCTAACGCTATAGCCACCGGAAGTTGTCCAACCCCACATCCGCCCCGGTCTCGCACATGCGCACATCCGCCCTGGCCCCGCGCATGCGCACAACTGGTTCGGCCCCGCGCATGCGCACTTCCGCCCCTGCCTCGCGCATGCGCACAAACGCTCCGGCCAGGTGCATGACCTCGCACAACCGCCCCGTGGGGCGGGGGTATTACACAGAGTACATCTGGTTGAGAAGCGCATTCCTATCTTTGGTTGAAATGGCGCATTTGATTTTCTTCTGCAGTCACAATACAATTTTAAACACAATAAGCTTCATTAAAGGAGCTGGAATACGTTAAGCTTTCACGGTCAGTTGGGGGAAAAAAGGATAACTGCCATTTGATTTTCTAATAACGAATATTCAGGAAATGCTTTCTTCTATAAACTGCTCTGATGTTTCAGTCATTCCGTTATATGCATATATTCTACAACACAGCGAAAAATTATAAAATTATACGTAAACGGTTGATTAAACGACCAAACCGAAAACATTAAAAACAGTATTTTTTATGAAAAAAAAAAAAAAAAAAAAAAAAAAAACACCTCCATGCTGCGATGCAACAAATATAATCCTTGCTCGCGGCGTCTCCAGTTCTTAATCCAAAGCTTTGATTTTTGGTTACGTTTTTTTCGGGTTAAAATAAGTCCGCAAACTAAAGTTACCACTTCAACGTTGTTGTCCATGTTTGTTTGTTTACTCTAAATTCAGGTGGTAGTGCAGAATTTTAATTTGAAGGGATTTCGTATCTGGAATCAGAATGTGTTCGAGTGAAACCTCACACTCTGCGATCGAACCCGTTACACCTACGGTTTTAAAGTGTGTCTCTCTCACGTTTTCAGATTCGGCCGACTTTTCTAAAATTGTGTAGTGTGAACTGGGCTTAAGCGTCTCTATAGAAAGTTCTACGTTCAAACTCGTTAAGATCTAAAATATGCAGCGATTTATCTTTGCACCTTTTGCAGGCTTCCTGTTATCAGTGAATAGCAGTGATAATGTTGAACCTGAACAGCTGTTATTATTGTCAGCAATGAATTAAAAGTCTCAAAGGTTGGTCAACCTTTAACCTACATCACATCAAACTACAGGCTGGGGATAAAAATAAAACATCTGATTGTTTCGTAAGAGACACGATATCTGATTTTAATCGCTTGCTTTTCTATAAAAAAAAATAAAATACAGAAAATATGTACATCGGAGTATTCGGGAACCAGAACTTTGTGTTTTATTACGAAAATATGCAGTATACCAGCAGAATAAATACGCAACTTTACCAGAGAAAACATCTTAAAATTAAGAAAAAATAATTATTTTATTGAGAAAAACAAAATCATGCTCCGGCGTGATCAATCAGTTGTGTAGACGTTTCATTCAAACAGCTGCACAATCGTTTCAAAGTCCAAATACTGATAATAATTTGATGCATATATTAAATTAAAATTTTAATATTTCCAAAGTAAAATTAACATGAGTTCTCATAAAATTAGTTCTTTATTCTTCTAATATTATCACTTTGCTCTTGTATTGTTTTGACGCTGTTGTTGTGTTGTCTAAAGCAAAACAAAACAAAAAATCTTAACTTGCCCCAAATATTGTCATAGAGTTGAGTCCAAAGTTCAAATAGGAAAAAGTTGTGGAAACAAGATGGCGGCTTTAGGTGTGCTGATGTCACTGAACTGTAGAAATGGTGGGGGGAAAAAATCCAGATTTTCCAAAAATGTAATTTTCAAGAAACTGAAGTTTTATTAATAAATAAAATCACAACATTTGATGTCTTTCCGATTCGGAAACTATCATTAAAGTGATTTTAAAGACTGAACAACTGAATTATTTGAACCTGTTAACTGTAAAATTAAGGTAAATGAATCATGTCTTTTGGCTATTATTGTAAAATGCTGACTTGTCCACATATATAAATCAGAAGTCGTAAAAATTGGAGCCCCATAATTCAATAGTCCAATGAAGCAGCTGTTCTCTTTACGACTTAATTAACTTCATATTGTTTTTAGAGAATAAATTTCTTTATGACTTTACTTCAGTCCTTCTAGGTTGGCAAATATTTGCTTTTGACGATTCGTTTCACATCAGGGGCCTTCAGCCTGTGGCTCATGATACATGGGACTAGTGACAATTATCAACTTCTGCCTACAAACTCAGAACGTTTTAGATTAATCTCAAATATTAAATAAAAAACAAAAAAAGAACAAAAAATAAGAAAAAAAGTGGAACATTTTGGAATTTGAAAAGTTGTTAATTTTTGATTTTTGGAAGTCAGAAAGTTGAAAATTTTGGACTTTTTTGGGAGGGCAGGGGTCAGAAATTTCCAAGTTTTTTCCTAGAAAAAAAGATTTTTTTGGGTGGAAATTTACTACTACTTTATTTTTTAATCTACAATGACCATGATATACCTTTGTAAGATGTTTTAAAAATGCACTTAATAACAAATACTGGGTTAAGCAGTTTTTCTCATTTAATAAACTGACTTCCAATTACAGAATGACACTAAAAGTAGCAGTAATACTGTTTTAAATCTATTTTTGTCATTATGTTGTAAATTATGTTCTTTTCTTCATTTTCATTTCCCATAAGTTTTAACATCCCACAGAAGGAAATATATCCATTGTCTTTTCTGCAAAGATTTTGTTTTTTTTTATTTTAAAAGGCCTAAAAACAGAAGCAAAATGCGATTCTTTAAAAATGACAACATGCTTCCTATCACAAATATCAAAAATATTAAGTTTTCTTTTTTTAAGTTCATGCAGCATTTCTGGACTGACAGCAAATATGGCTGAAGCACCTAATTATTGTTTTATCTTATCGATACATTGACTACTTGCCAAGTACAAGCTGCGATATGGAGCCTTTCTGATTACATAATAATGTTTGAATGCACTTATCGTTCAAATGGTTTCCTCAAACCAGAAGTTGCATTTTTATCTGTTCTGGGATCAGATTTGCTCCAGAACTGATTGTCCCTCTTCTAGTAGAAAATATTTGTCCGTCTTCATTCTAGTTACTACTTTGGTGACTAAGCACAAATACAAATCACTTATTGGCCAAATATTTTGTAAGTCAATTAAATGTAAACTTTGTAAATTCAGATATTTTTTTAAGTTTACTTTCTAGAAACTTTCTGAAATCAATCTAAAAATGTCAGATTTTTTTCTAGAAAATGTTTGACTTTCAGAGCTTATAAATGCCTTTTGTTTTTCTAGAAGATTTCTAAGACAAATCTAAATATTTCTTTATTCCTCTTTATTTTTCCTGCCTGAAGGTCCTGTTATGCTGTCGCAGGTAGATGATTAGCTGTGTGTCAACCAAGATCCCAGCTCCTGCTTCTCACACATGCATGTTGAAGCATGAGGAGTGGGAGACATCATCAGCTGTTGTTTTATTAAACCCTGAAAGCTTGACACTGAGTTTCGTCTGCACAGAAAGCATTAAAATAAGAGTGAATCACTGCGGATCTAACAGAGTTACGACCTCAGCTCTTCTTACTCACATCCCAAACGGTGTGTGTGTGTGTCTCTTCTCACTCCATATACGGTCGCGGAGAGGAGACTTCCCCAGTCAGAGGGTGTAGCAGCCGTCAGTCAGCTGAGGTTAGAGGTCGATGATGGATGTTGCTGCAGGACGCGCGAGGCAGAAACAGGTGAGGATGATTAAATCTGCAGCTCATCAAACAGCTGAACGACAGAATGATCGTTCAGGTGCAAACTGAACCGATGAAAGTCAGACAGGTGAGAGGTGTGACTAAGAAAAGTCATCCTGAAAGTGAAGAGCGTCGCCTGACAGGCTCAGACGAAAACTGATGCACCGATGACAAACATGGCAACATTCAAAATGACCAAATACCAATGGATATCAACGCGAAACTAAAGCAGACCCTGTCAGATTTTAACCAGGAATAAACAAACTTCTGGGCGTTGGCTCAATTATTGGCCGGTAAATTAGTAAATTGGTGGATTTTGCCTATTTTTTCTATAAATTTCTT